GTGTGTGTGTGTGTGTGTGTGTGGAAACCTTCAGGTCACAGTGAAAGTTTGGACTTTTCATTTGATCGCGGTGAAGCGTGTGCTTTTAGAAAGACGCTGCTAATGGAAGCGGCTCCGAGCAGCTTCAGTCCGTCCGTCCTCGTCCCTCTGAGCAGTCAGGATGTTCATATTACGCTGCTGGCCAACACGTTTTATTTTTCATCCTTTTCATCAAAGACCGGCGGGCGGCCGCCAGTCACACTGCTCTCTCTGCTTTTTGTATTTCAGTCACGCAATGACAATATTTGGATTTTCCCCTCTTAGTCGTGTTTTCGTTGCAAAGGAGTTTTACTGTAAAAACAAGTTTGACGGCGTGTCTCATTGTTTTGTCCTTCACCTCACTGAGTGAACAGCTTTGCTTCTCTTTGCTGTCTGCACGGTCAGCGTTAGTCTCTACTGTAGTATAAAGAGCAGATCACATTAAATAAACAGCCTCAGAAGAACAGAGGCTTTAGGTGTTACGTCCTCCAAAACGTCCAGATAGAAATTTCTGAAACCAGATTCATATCAATGTTTCTGTTTTTTCGCAGCTATAAATTCAGACACTTTCGTGCACTGATGGATTTAGAGATTTTGGTCTAATTTGCTTCTATAACTCGTCTCCTTTCAGACGAGCGGAGCGCTGTTTATTTTACTGCTTTTGTCCGTTTGCGTCTGTAGAAGTTCACCAAAAGTTACCATTACATAATGCCTCATTTATCTAAACATACATATAGAAGACTAAAATAAATTAATATAAAATATAAAATATTTAATCACAACACATCGTATTTCAAATGCAGAATGCCAAAAAGTCGCATTTTGAAAGCCAGCATGCTTTTTCTGGCTATTCTGACCCACAATCCTTTGCGCTGCAGATACATCAGCAAAGAGGCAACACACGGGGACGTAGTATGACCCCGTTGAATGCACGCCGCATGGAACAGTTTGTAAAAGTGTGTGATTTGGAATTTGAGTTCATCTCAGTGGACAAACAGGTTTTTGGATATTTGATGCTCTAGTGGAGCCGTTCTTACCGGGAGACTGTGGGGGGGTGCTCCAGACCTCCATCAGCAGGGAGTCATTCAGCTCGGAGAAGTCGTCCTCGGCCTCCTCTGGGACGGCCTCCATCACTCTGCAGATACATTCACAAGGAAGAGAAGGACTTCACACACACATACATCAATACAGTAAAATATTGTTGTGCTTTTTCCATCAAAACAGGTATTCTGTGATCCAATAAAGCAGCAGAACCAGAACCAGAACCAGTAAGCAGAAGCTTTCTACAAATGCTTTATATTTAGCTTGAATTCACTCAGGTGTATTTGTCCCTCGTCTCCTGCCGTACCTCTTCAGCTCCTGCACGTCCTGGCTGTTTTCTGGGAGAACCCGGATCCCCTTGCCGTACGCCGTCCCCCCGTGCAGGTGGAACAACAGGTGATCCCCCCCCTCTTCCTCCGACTGGCTCCTGCCCGGTACCTTACTGGATCCTGGGATCGCTCGCAGGTTGTAGATCCTCAGGAAGTCCCCCGGCTGATGAACGGACAAACAGGACAATTAACTCACAAAAAAAACACATATCGAAGAGAAGAAACGATTATTAAAATAGTAGAAACATTCTACTGTTAAACAAAGAAGCAGCAATAGAGAGGAAGATCTTGGGAGTACACGTTCACCTAGTGAATAAAAACCTGGGGGTGGATAATAACTGCATTATTACATCAATGTTCCTCAAAATAAATACAAACAATTGGGAGAAGCAGATGGTGAGATATCCTGACTGTTAGTCAAACTCCAACAATGCTGCTGGATCCTACATTTCCCAAAATGCAACCAGATGATTTCCAGCTAATCTAAAGGGTGCGTTTGTCTGCTGTTTGCTGCTGAGCAGGTAGTGAACAGTGAGTCCATCAGAGCCCGAAGCAGACCGTGAAACCAAAACGAGGAGCTAAAAGAGGCCAAACAGCTCCGTAGAGCTGAAGAGTAGGAGTCAACTCTGTGGATTCACAACTACAATTGTAGTTTTGAATATTTTGTTGTTAAATGTATGCAAATGACCGTGCATCAGCTCCACCAGCAGATGGCGCTGTTGCACCAAACCAACAGTGTGGTGACAAGTGATTCAGAGGCTCTAAGGACTTGGTTAGGTTTGTCATTTATTTATTTATTTACATTTTTTCTTCTTTCCCTTCAGCTCTCTGTCACGACGAGGCTGCAGTCGACAGAAAGCTCTTCCTCACCCTCATCATCATCATTCAACGCTTCACTGATCAAGAGTCAGAGGCGTCCACTCTGCTCAGAAGCTTTTCCTGTTTTTATACCAGGGTTTAAATATAACACACACACACACACACACACACACACACACACACACACACTTTAATTGCATTATAGCCGGAGAGCAGAAGAATGATTCAGAAAGTGAATCCTCTATAAGCTTCCTTTAAATCCATCTTCTCCGTACAGTGAGTGAAGCTGGAGTCACGGTGGATTAGCAGCTGCTCTCCTGAGGCCTCGCCTCCTCTGAAGATCCACACGAGGAGCCGAGCTGTGAACTGGGAGGACTGGCCAACCTGACTCGCATGGAGGCGTTTTACTATCTGGAATTACGTCCACATCACCGGGTTTCACTTGGACGCTGACGAACAAGGAGAAGTTTGTGAACTCCGGGCAGTTTCCACATTCATCTCTGTGTCGCCTTGTTTGTTTCTGCAATATAAAAGTCCTGCACCTCTAGTGAACCAGCACCATCCCGGCTAGAAGAGAGGACTCAAACAGGTCTTTAGTGCAGAATAACGCAGTTGAAATATTATTTTGGAAAACAATGAGATCGATCGATCCCCTCCCCTCCCCTCTCCGTGTTCAGCAGCAGTTCAGTCAAAGTTTCACTGAATCTCTGTCACGTGACTGTTGGTCTCAGGAGAATCAATCACGGCTTCACAGTTGCGCTGAGGAGCTCAGGATTGAATGTCTTTTACAGGCTCTGGTTAAAGCAAACGGTTTATTTGGGACGTGATTTTAAATGAGACGTGTAGAATAAAATGTTTTTGATGAAATTTAACAACTCTAAGCTTTGGTTGCTTTTTCCAACGGAAGCATGTGTCACACATGATGTGTTCAAGAACCGTCAGAAAGAGGAAAATCTGACGTAAATCACAGTTTTCACAGCTTCTAGCTACGGTAAACGGTGTAGTTTTTGGCAATAGTTTGAAGAAAACATGCTTTTCGATCCTGGTGTCAGGTTTCGTGGCTCTGAGGGTTAAAATTTTTTTTTATTAATTTGGTTTTACTTTGTGTGATGAACAGAGAAGAGGACACTTATTGCAATCAAGAAAACAATGGTGAAAGGATGAGACGAAGCATGAACATCGGGGAAACAGACAGTTGACACTTCATCTCTCTGTTAATGAAGCCCAACGAAACCACTTTGTTAGTACGAATTTAAATCTGTGCTTATTCGTCGACTGTCAATTTGAGAGTTTATGCGACAACTTACACTCTAATTTAGGGTTTTTTCAAATGTTATTGTTAATCAGTGTATCATATCACCATGAAGGTTGACGCATGAAAATAGAAATCTTCAACGGATCTGTAATTAAATTCCATCCATAGTGACAACATGGACAAGAAACATTTTTAAAAATAATTTTCCTCACATCAATCAAGACATGATTATATATGAGAGCACGAAACAAGAAGGCTGAGACAAACATCCACATCTGGTTGAAATCATTAACCTACTAACCGTCCTACAATCAGCAATAAACTGAAGATATTCTGCAAAGAAGGCAAAGAGTACCAACGACTAATCAGGGCAGAGTAGGGCGGGTCTTCAATGGGGGGGGGGGGGTAAAAAAAATAATAATTCTCGAACTACCATAAATAACTGTGAAAGAGGTAACTGGCATGAGGATGAGAGGGCACTTCCATATTTCCAAAAAAAAAACTCTCTTGCACAAACTCTATTGCTAGTTTTCAATTGATTAAACTCAGGCGGCAACCTCCGGTTCTGCCGAGTGAAGCCGATGCTTCATGTGTTAAAGCTGCATTCTCTCTCGTGTCCACCAGGGGGCGACTCCTCTGGTTGTATAGAAGTCTATGAGAAAATGACTCTACTTCTCTCTTGATTTATTACCTCAGTAAACATTGTAAACATGAGTTTATGGTCTCAATCTCTAGTTTCAAGTCTTCTTCAATACAGCATGATGTTCATTTAGTACATTATGGTCCATTTAGAGTCAAACAGACCATAAAGCAGGGGATGCTTTAGGGCGGGGCTACACGGTGATTGACAGGTCTCTACCAGAGACGTATACGGCGTCTCTACGTCACTCCTCAGTCCAGATATGGTCACTTCCCTCTATTGGTAGCAAAAAAAAAAAAAACATGGCGACAGCTGTAATCCAAGATGGCGACGGCAAAATCACCGAACTCAAGGCTTTAAGACGTCAGTCCCCAAACCAATGAGTGACGTCACGATGACTACGTCCACGTCTTACATACAGTCTATGGTTAAACTATGAGTGCATACGTTTGCCTATGTATAAATGAGCTCTGGATGATGGTTTAACACCACAGACCACCGCTCACATCCAGTCTCCAGTCAGTTAATGTTGACTTATGTTACTTAATGTTGTCTCTTAATTATGAATACGAACCTTCCAGAATCTTGAAGTTGTTTAAGGCACAAATTAGTTCATTTTGAAGACTTTTAGTATGCGTTTTGGTTGGAAATGACCAACAGATGCTGTCACTTAGATATGAGGACTTATAAACATCACAAATGTCACGCACAGTATATGCAAATTAATATTTAACGTCCCGCCAAAAGTCCACAGGATGGCACATTTTGGGTTAAAGAAAAATGCACGAGTACAATCTGTAGTTGGAACAACAATTTGGTTTTCATGAAGTGAAATTTCATGACAGACGTAGCACTCTCCTTACTTGGTCAGCAGCCCTTTCTTAGTACATAAGAAAACATGTATTGATCTTTATTAAGACCACATGACTCCCGCTGTGGCAGGAAGTCAAAAACGAGACCAAACTGTGCTTTTGTTTGCACAATCTCAGACTTCTTCCCGGGTTCCATTTCGTCTGCGGCAACGCGGACGCTGAGCCGAATGGGCCGGAAGAAATAACGGATAAGCAGTAGGGAGTCTGGCTGTGTTTTCTCAGAGCTGCATGAGAGTTCAGAAGAATTCACCACAGTTTGTGTTTTGAGAAGCAGGTGTAGAGCGAACAGAGAGAGCGACTAATGCAGGAAAAAAAACACACCAGACGGCAGCGTGAATAAAGGCGGCACCATGTGGTGTCGGCTCTGATCTCGCCCGTTTGGAGCTTCCCGATGGTGTCCACATATTAAATCCTCTGCAGCGGTTCCTGAGAGGCCAGGTGTGATTATAACGAGCAGACATTCAGCTGAGAGAAGCAGCGCTAAGTTTAGACCCGAACATGACTCATCTAATCAGAGGGCCAAAGTCGCACTATGTCCAAAAGTAGAGTCGCTTATGATCGGCTTGAGGGAGGATTTCAACTTTTAGGGGACATGATAGAAGAGGCAGAATGGACTTTACAGTTGTTGAAGAAGAGACAGTCCCAGGTGTCGATTTAAAGACCATGAAGGACTCCCAGGTATTCACCTAGTGACAGAAACAGGTGTCCTTGTAATGTCCCCGTGCACAAAGAGAGATCCCGAAGTTTGTTGTGGAGGAACTTGACCTCAACCCCATCGACACCTTTGGGATGAACTGGAAAAGTCGACTGTGAGCCAGACCTGATCCCCCAACGTCAGCGTGGGACCTCGTTCAGCCAATGCTCTGGTGGCTAAAGGGGAGCGAACCAGCAGGTTCATCAAACATCTGGTGCAAAGACACCAGAAGAGTGGAGGCTGTGGAGGCCTCTGAATCACACTGCTCTGGTGTTCCATGGTTCCCAATGAGGAGAGAGCCTCGAGAAAAATAAATGCCTTTTTAGCTTTCTATGTCAGACAGATGCTACCATGACAAAGACCGAAAAAGCCCATTTGTGGGGGCAGATCGGCCGGGCGGACACCGATTATTGCCGGTGAGTTTTTGCTTTTATCGCTGTAATCATCGTCTCCCTGAAGGATCGTCCAGATTGAGTTTTGACAAGATCATCGACACAAAGGATGAAGCAAGTACACTTTGAGTGGTGCTCATGGTGGGAAAACAAATGTCAAACAAATAGATAGTGGCCCAATAATAAAAGCAAAGGAGCGATGCTGAGCCTGACAGCGGTGGTGAGAGTGGTGATATGTTGTCAAGATATTGGTCTCATAGAAATGTTTTTCAATGAAACGCTGGGATGAAGCGTTCCCAGATCCCTCCTGTTAGGATCGTAAGTAAAAAAAACACTTCCTGTCGGATATGTGTGAAATAAAAACAGATATAAAGTATTTAAATCAAATTAATATCTCTGTCTGGTGACTTGATGCCGGAGCTCGACTCCTTCTTGGTACCGACTGAATCTGGCATTGAATGTTAGGTTAGATTCATTCTCTCATTTATTCT